GGTGCCGGCTGCCGAGAGCAAATACAGAGAAGGGGCCGTGGACCTGTCTGGAGCGCTCCAAGCTGGCTTGCCTCTGCTCGGAGGAGGTGTCAGGCCCATCAGAGTGGTTTTGTGCAGCTTTGTGATGGGCTTGGAGGGTTTTGAGTAGTCGAGAAGAGTTTGCAAGCGTCTCGGTGGGAGAGTCTTGCAGGTGGTTAGAGCTGCTGATGGGTCTTCAGAGCTTTGAGCTCCGGCAGAGCCGGCGCCGGCGGCTGAGCTGAGCTTTGCAGAGGCACAGAACAGCTCGCGGCACATTAGGGGAGCTCCGCGGCAGCGAAAGGCTGCACAGTGCTGCTCACCTGGAGTTCTGACCTGGCTGCCTCCCAGCTCTTCTGCTCATCCTGGGCTCCCTCGTTGTCCCACTGGATCTCTGGGGCGCTCTTGGTGACTTGCTTTTCTGGCTGGTCTCTCTTGCGTCCCTCTGAGCTCTCTGGGGTTATCTCGGTGGGATTTGGGCTCTCTTGGGCCCCTCCAGGGTTTCAGTGTCCCTCAGCCCTCACAGGCTCTCTCAGCAGTGTTCCCCAGAGGAGGAGCTCGTACACTGTAAGACACGCTTGACTTAGCTTTCACTGTTGGAGGGGAGACCCGAACAATCAGGGCTGTGCCCGCGGGCAGCGCCCTTGCCACCCTCTCGCCAAAGCGCTCTGTTCTGGGGTGCCAACAGGGCTCTCCCCAGGGGAGTAGCAGTCGAAGGGCTGGGCTGGTCCTGGGGCTTTGGTGGTCACTTCAGCACATCCCCACCTCCCTCCTCACCCAGCCCGGCTGCGCTCTGCTGCTTCCTCTCATGCAGGATGCTGCAGAGCTGATTTCAGCCTCTGTAGCAACATCCTCACCTTGTCTTTCTTGGCTTTGCCAGGGGTTTTTGACTTCTTGCCTTCCTGGGTTCCTCTGCGCTTTCCTGGCTGTTCCAGGCCCCCTTGGTTCAGCCCTTTAGGGCTCTCTTGGATTCATTTGGTCTCTCAGGGCCTCTCTTAGCACCACTTGAGCTCCCCTGGGGTCTCCCTGGAGGTATTTTCCCTCCAGTTCCTAAACTTTCTTGGATTCTCATGACTTCTTTTGCTCATGGCTTTCTCAGGTGCTCTCAGGGTGGCCGTGGCACTGCTGAGTCTTCTCAGTCTCTGCAGACCATCTGCGCTGCTCTTGCGTTGCCCGTTTCCCCAGGATCTCCCGGGCTATTTCAGGCTCCCCTGGTGTTCTCGGGCTCCCCTGAGCACAAGCTCCGGCTGTTCTCTGCCAGCTGGATCCTGTCCCTCACTGTAATCCTCAAATTACCTCGTTAGACACCACCGAGGAGGCAGAGAGTTCCGGACCCTGTCAGAGCATGGGAGCTGGAGGTCAGGCTCTCGGCTGGAGGAGGATTGAGGTTTGGCAGTGGGGAACGGGATCTGTCAGTCAGCGCCATGCCTGGGGGTGAACAGGTTTTGTTTCAGGCCCGCGCTGCTGCAAGTCCATGGGCTTGGTGTTCTGGGGATGAGCAGGACCCTCCCAGGAGAGCCTCTGCCAAAACCACAGCTGCTCTCGGAGAGTCTCCAGTCTGGGACAGGTGCTCAGCATCAGCCGTGAAGCAGTTTTGGAGGATGTGAAACTGGTGGAGACCTGCCAGGCTGCGAAGGGACCCCGGAGGTCTGGTCCCCGTTTCAAGCACCAGGCAGATGCGACTGGCCCGAGGCTGGAGCTGGCACTGTCACCTGTGTCAGCGTGCCCAGGGAAGGGGCCGCGGGTCCTGCTGCCACCCAGGCTGTAGGGATGTGGTCCTGGGTGTTGCCTCAGCGGCCACGGGGAACTGAAGCTTGAGAGTGGGGATGAGAGACAGGACTGAGTCACAGGGGAGGAAAAGAAGCATCATTCTTACCCAGGGTGAGAGCTGTGCTCATCCCAGGAGGGACCAGGAAGGTTGAACGGTTTTGTGCTGCGTTAATCCAACTCTGCTCAGCTGCAGAACCATGCCCCTAGAAATGGGAGAGGAACCCAACCATGGACCTGGACCCCGGGAGGGTCCTGGGGCATTGCTACTGCCTCGGGAGCAAAGGGAAGTATCAGGACGTGAGAAGATTTCTGGGACTGGGTCTTTATTTGACGTGGGTATCACACAAGCACTCTTCACAATAAATATGTGGCCAAATAGGAGCCACAGGCTGCTGGCGCGGGGGTTGGGAACAAAGACGTTTGGACATTTCCTGCAGAGTCCTTCACAGGCAGAAACCTTGCCTGTGTTGCCTTCCCTCCCGCCCCAGGTCCTCTGGATACGGCTCCCAGGCAGGACCTGCTCCGGAGCCTTGCTCCAGGCTTCTGGTGAGGTCTCTGACACTGGGTACAACATCACCAGGGTGGGGAATGTCCCTTCAACATGGGCACGGCCACAACTGGGCTTCCTTTTGACTGGGATGCCCCCTGATTATTTCTCACAACCACAAAACATGGTTGGGGTGGTCTTTAAGGAGCAAATGTCTGTACGGGCACCTGAAATGTGCTGGTGGGTGGAACAGCTGCAGTGGGGCAGCGAGTGTTGCGCCCAGGAGAGCTTTAAAGCCAAGTTATCTTGTCAGAATGATAGCAAGTAATCTCTTCTAGCTAATAAATAATTGTATATTTTTTAAGCTATTAGCACCCTGCCTAGCAAAGCCTCGCTTCAGCCCCGAGACCAGAGCAGGGTGGAAGGGCAGAGGATGAAGGGGATCATGGCCACCTTCTGGATTT